TAACACAGTGAATGCTAGAGAAGATGCCATCCCCAGCATCAGTGTCAGAGGAAAGCATAGCACTCCAACAACTTTCAGATTTCATAGTGTGTCACCACTGGTGGCTCTTTATTTGGGTCTCCTCCTCGCTCCAGATACAGGTCATTGAAGGGATATTGCTTCGGTCCCTACAAGAGAGAGGCAAATTATTTCACCAAGCAAACAAAGGGGTATCCCATCACACCCCCACCCAAATCAAGGCCTGTTATTTCCAATTTAAATTTCTATTTCTTAAGTGCTTCAGTAGGAATATTAGAGTATAAGGGAAGTAAATTCAGTGACAGAGTTCTTTGTATAAACCCATGGCCTTTAATAGAAACATCAAAGTGGTCTTGCATTTAAACTTAACCAACAGTTCATCCCACAGCATGAGGATAATATATTGAAAAAGCTATTTGTGTATTATTCAGATGTACTTTTCAGAAGTACATTCCAACTGATACAGATTATGAGATATAACTAAAAACAGGGCAAAAGAAGAAATAAAGCATCACCCTCCAGCAGATGAGCACAGTGAATGAGAACAACACCTAGATCAAAGAAGGGGCACTGTAAGAAGCATAGCTTAAAATTAGTTCCCTGGGAACAGGAACTGCTAACTATGAAAGACAAACTGTGAGCTGAACCAAGCCAGTCAAAACAACAATTCAGGCTGGATGAGGCCACAGGACAACCCTTGGCCCAGCTCCTGCCAGCAGCAGCATTTTGCATCCAATCATTTCGCTTCAGCAAAACCACTCTTCTGGGTATCAGCAGTGACAAGAAACACACCTATTTGTCCTCTCTTTACCCAAGGACATCACTCACCACAGGCATGTAAGATGGATACATCCCTCCAAGAACAAACATGACCAGCATGGTACCCAGAAAGATAAAGAAGTGTCTGCGCATGATGTGCCAGGGTACTACAGTGGGGGATGTATCAACACGGTTCCGAGTATACATGTCAAAGTCCCAGTGCATCTAAAGAACAGAAGAAAACCACCAGGCATTTACCAACCATGCTCAAAGCTGCTTTTATCAAGGGAAGAAGTGTTTGACATCATTCACAAAACTGCCAGAAGCTGTTTCATCTCCACCTTGAAAATGGAGTTAAAGCCACAGAGGAGGCAAGCGATTTACCTACAGTCATAGCAAGTTGCCAGTTGCAGTAAAACTCAGGACTTTAAATTCCATCCTATACTTACACCAGGTAATATGCTTAATTACAGGGTAGCAGCAGCTTTTATTTGTATACATAATCACTGTATTATATTTGTTTCCCAACACCATTGAAAAGGCATGGTATAAACTGGTACCCTCATTTATGGAACATACCCAAACAGAAGTAGCAATGTAATTTCAAACAAAGAAGCAACTACCTGTCACTTGGAGGCTGGTTCCTCAAAACAGGTAGGGTACCTGCTGCTACTGTCTCTACCGTTAGCATGAAGAGGTCAAGTCAATCACAAAGTTCAGTAATCACAGTTAGATGGCAGTCATTCACAGAAAGATCCAGCACTAACTGAAAAGTTAGTCCTGACAAAAAGTTTGAAGAACTTAAGAGAAATTAATAGAGCACCTATGTTAACTTTCAAAGTCTAAAGGATAGCATGCAAAATTTCTTCAGAGAAAACCACCTTATTTGTATTCTATCCCACAAAAAACAGAAGAAAACCCCACCAAACAAACCCTGGGGTAATAAAGTAGCAATAGCTACTACCATTGTACTAAAAGGACTTACTTAAACAATGGCTTCTTTGCTAAATGATTCTGAACTAAACTCTCATATTGAGTCAGATCAGGCACAGAAAATGGATGAGAGTTTTTCTACGGATAAACTTTTTTAGTCTCCCTTCTCATATGTAATAAGACATTAAGAGTCCTCAGTGCTTTCAAAACACATACCCTGAGGGCTATAGCCTCTCTCCAAATGACCAATTGTCCATGCTTGCATAGGGAACACACACCTGAACTTGGCAATGCAATTACACAAAGAATTAAACAGAAAGTGCTAACAAAGATGCACATGTTAGCATTTAATAACAGTAGTACGGATTAGCAGCTTGAAAAGTGCTACTAGCATTCCTACCGGCTCTCCCCAGTTATGCCTCATGTCTGGCTGGTCCCACTTGTACCAGGGGTCTCTCTCATGATGCGACTTATCAGGGAGCTTGGGATAATCACCATAACTGTGAGAAAAATATTTAAAAAAACCAACCCAAACATATAAGAAATCTGTAGTAATTTATACATATTTTATAGGAGACGCTATAGGTTAGGCTTATGAAAATGGAAGCATTACTTTGATTTTATAGCTTCCATGAATACGATTTTTAAAATGCATACATGCAACTACCACAATCATTATCACATTGATGTCACCGTAGCAAAGAGCATTCCCCCAGTGTATCCTTTTGGGCTATGCCAGCTGGAAGAAAATGCAAGCTAGAGTGAAGAACAGAACTGTAGCTGGCTTGCCCATGCCAGTGTTCCCCAACATTTAAAGACTTCCTGAAATTTTTATACTAGAGTAGCTTTTGATTCATCCCTGTTAGCCCTGCATCACATCAGCATACAAAGCCTCTCTTACAGCATTTTATTCATGTGTATCTCCAACTTATTACACTTGTTCCTGTATTAAAAGTGCCTTCAAGCTCTAAGCTCACAGCACCTGCGAGCGCTCAGCAGAAGCCACAAGCACAGAGCCAGAGATGCTGCTGCTCACCGGACCGCCCCAGCTCACCCGAAGCCGTCGTCAGGATAGGGCTCATAATCCTCCACCCGCATGTTGTACTTCTTCGCGGCGGCTGCCCGCTCCTCCGGCGTGCGAGGATACGGCCCAGGCAACATGTCCCGGGTCATCTGCGAGGCTGTCGGGAGAGCAACACGACCGGATGGGCACGGGCCCCGCCGGCCGGGCCGGGGAGGTCGCGCCGCCCTCACAGCCCGGCCCCGGCGCCACCAGCCCACCGGCTCAAGAGCACCCACCCCACTGCCTGTCAAGGCATTCCGCTGCCTCTTCCCCAATCACTCACCCGCCCGCGCCCCCGGGAGCGCTGCCACGGCAGCCCGCGCCGACGGCAGCCGGGCAGCTGCGCGCTGCCAGAGGACACCGCGAAGCATAGGCGCCGCCATGGCCGACACCGCACAACCGCGGCCGACGGCGGCCGGTAGGGACAAAGTAGCACGGGCGATGGGCGGGGCTAGCCAGAGGTGGGCGGGGTTAGAGGGGGTGGGGCTAGCGCAGAGTACAGCGCACCCTCCCTCCGGTCCAGGGCATTAATTAATTATCAGCCGCTGCTATTATAATATCGACATAACAGCTAATGGACAGAAAGGGCATCGGTGCGATATTTCGCTCTGTCATCATCTGGAGCGGGATAATGGGAATTTATGTCAGGTATTACCTTGCAGATGCGGGGCAGCCTCCTGCGGAGAGCTGGGTCGATGCTCAGCCAGATCAATGCTGTAGCTGGTGGCGTTATGCAAATTGCCTGCTTTGTATCAGTATCAATATTATTAAAGTTAATACCGTCTTCTCCCTGTGCAGCCAGGGAAATTCGAACAGCTGAAATGGTGTGTTAATTTAGTGATGCTATTCTTCAAACAAGCAATACATTATTGCAGATAAAATCGATACGAGCATTAAAGGCTTTTGCAGTTTACTTCATTATGTAAACTCTGTGGTAGTTGAACTCATTTTCCTTCAGTTATTCACATCAGCCATAATGGGTAATGTCTCTATAACGATCTACATTATAAACTTTTTCAGCTCAAAAACTATCAGTGACAATTTGTCATTAAAGCCATTCCTTCTAATAACAATATTAATTGTACACCTACTAATTGAATGAAGAGAGCGATGAACCACAAGAATATATCTGAGATGCAGTGTGCCTGAGGTGGGGGCATTGTCACAGGCTAGAACAGGATTCTTCACTTATCCCCCAAAAAGGCCTCATCACATTGTTTTAGGGATGGTATCTTAATTCAGCCAACTCTCTTGCAACTGAATTTGCAGTGTAGTATGTCAGTTAGTTACCTAATAACTGGAGCCCAACCCTCCATTGCAGAGGCTGCTGGCAATTTCCATGCCTGTCCCACCTCTGCAGCGTGCGGCATGCTGGGGACAGCAGTGTCGTGCTGGAAGTGGGGACCCTCGGTTCCCAGCTGCACTGTCAATCTGGGCTCAAGAGCTTGATGCAGGTTTGGATCGTGGTCATCTGCTCCTTTCACTGGCTCTTCACGTCTGGGTATTTACTTTATGGCTTATGTCTGAGTCTTTCACAGCTTGGCTCAAGCTTTCACAGCTGTGGCTCAAGCTTCTTAAGCACCCAAATACATTTGCAAATGTGTTGTAAAGATTTTTCTTAATCTGCACAGGAGCAGTCCTGTAGATTTAAAGAGCGATGGGCATGCATTTTCATATAAACTAAGCATGCTAATATATTTTGGAAGGGCAGAGGAAAATAGGTCGTGTTATTCTCATGAAAGTAAAGTTCTACACAGACAGAATACCAAATCCATCTACTGTAAGATGAAAATCACTGAATGACCGAAATGTTCTCAAGACCTGATGGCCAACATGGCACTTATTCTTGGGAAAGAGCTATCATTGTTCTTGCCGCTTGCATCTTGCAAGCAAAATGTACTCAACTGCTTCCAGACCAGCACCGCTCACTGAGAGTGAGTGAACGAGCTGTCTGGCTGGGTTTAAACCACGACAGCCTCACATAACAAATTCACACAAATTCAATAGCTCTGACGCTGAGCTCATGAAATCTTACTAAACTGATGTAGTCAAACAACACTTGCCTTTTTCCCTCGGGATGTGGTGGTGGAGCAGCTTCAAGGAGCTGCACTAGTGGCTGTTGCGAGGCCCAGGCTGCCATCTGAAGACATGCAGGGCGGCAAAGCGACGAGACACGAGGAGCACAGCGATCCCGTCTGATTCCTGCGGCGGGCTTTTACCGCGTGTGCTCCCAGATCCAAAGATGCCCAAAAGCCTCGGGACGGGCAACAGGGGGAGGGGAGCAGATGCCGCCAGCAATCTCCCCCCGCGCGGGGGCGCTGCGCGCAGCCGCCGCTCCCTCCTCCCCTCTCCATGGTGCCTCACAGCCTTCTGCCCTCTCCCCTCGTTTCCGGAGTTGCTGTTTTCGGCCAACTTCCGTTTCCGGCTTTCTAGTTCCGGGTTCTCCGGTGGAGGCGGCGATGGCAGCGGCCTCCTCCTCCTCCTCGGCGGCGACCCCGGGCTGCCGTGAGGGCCCGGCGGTAGCGGCAGGGCCTGGCTGGAGCGACTCCCAGTTCCGTCGTTACTCCTTCGAGACGCGGCCCATCCCGCGGCTCAGCCACAGCGATCCGCGCGCCGAGGAGCTCATCGAGAACGAGGTGCGGTGAGCAGCGGTGCCCGGCCCGGCTTTGGGCCGGCGGCTTGTGCTTGGCGGCGTGGGGGCTGCTAGCCGTGCCCATCAGGCCTCCTGGCTCTGGATGCCATCCCGGAGGTACTCACCTCTGGCACGCTCCTCTTAGTGGACGTTTCTTCGTGGTGCTTAAGAGTTGAGTTCTGAAATTTACAGGAAACGTTTGCTTTAAGTGCTTAGTTGTCGGGATGGAAACTGTGGAAATGTTGTGTATGGGCACATGTTTGTTATGTTATAAGCGAGAGTGGCCACAGGTGTGAGGGTTGCCTTGCAATAGCAGGTCTGGCATTGGTTCTGGATAAGCTCAGTCTCATTCTGGTAACGTTGGTGTATGATTTTGTTTTTAAAGAAAGCCTGCAAGAAAGCAAGCTGTGCAGGCATGCCTTGGGAACACAACAGCTGTCCTTCTGCATTAGGTTGTTAACTGTGTATAGGTGAGGAGATAGGTGATGTCCTTTCTTTTGTAGTGCTGTGGGCTTTGGTTTGTTTCTGATATTATTTTAAACTTTTTTGGTGTATAAGAGATGAGATAATGTCAGGGTTTTGGTGGCTAAAGATTGGCTGTGATCCCTTGAGAAAAAAGAAATTTGCGTTGGTTTTGGATTCAGAGATACCTTTCTGTCAGTATTTACCCCTTCATAGCTGAAGCTGGAAACAAGCAGACAGAATATACTGCATCTCCTTGCTACGTGGCAGGAGCAGAAACTGTTCCCAGCTAGTGTTTGTCTAACCTCATGTGTTAGAGATTAACTAAGTAGGTAGTGGAATCTGTCCCATTGCTACCAGGAATTTTCTGTGGCAGCAGGCTACCACTTCCTTAAAGCTTCCAGTCGTGTTTTGCTTGATCTTACTCTCCAGATCAAGGTATCCAATTACTCTAAACACCTTTTTCAATTCCTTGTTTTCAAAGAGCATTTGTGTGGTCGCAGTAATGAATGTGATCGGTCTCAAGTTCAAGAGGTACTTGAATCAATAGACTTCCTGTTTCTCTCCAGGAGCCAGTGGTGCTGACAGATACGAATCTGGTTTATCCTGCTCTGAAATGGGACCTGGACTACCTCCAGGAAAACATTGGCAATGGGGACTTCTCAGTGTATAGTGCCAGCACACACAAGTTCTTGTACTACGATGAGAAGAAGATGGCCAATTTTAAGAACTTCAAGCCCAAATCAAGCAGGGAAGAGATGAAGTTTGCTGAGTTTGTGGACAGACTCAAAGAAATTCAACAGAAAGGGAGTGCTGAGAGGTAAGTGATGTGTGGAGGTTTCTTTGCTTCTGCAGGCCTGAGTAGGGGTTAAGTTTCTTTTTAGTGAGTGTTGATCCTGCAGGGCTGCTAGTTGACAGCAGCCTTGTTACCTGATTAAAAACGTTATCCCACTAATTAATCAAATTTTTCACATTACCTGCAGAGATTTTAATTTTTTTTCCTTCTGTTTCCTTTTTGTCCAAGGCAGGGTTTGCATAGAGAAAGCCTTGAGCTTCACTTGCTTTTGACAGAGTATGGTATCTGATAAAAGATACAAGCCATGGCACTCAGCCTGTTTTACAGAAAACCAAGGCAGCTGGTGCCAGCCCTCTTTCAGAAACATGAGAAAGGTTGCATATGTGCTCTGTGTTTGGTGGTGGTGATGGACTGCGCTACTAACAGAGCGGTAAGATAATGAAAAGAGCTTCACATTTACACAGAATATAACTACTGACAACTGTACTTAAACCCTCAGTTAACTTTATCAGCCTTTTAAAAGGATGTAGTGATACTTAATTGGAAGCAACTCAATGCCTGTGTCCACTTGTCATCTGTGGCTTTCTCTTCTTTCTTAGCTTTGGGTGTGCTTTTTCTAGAGAAAAAGCAGTCCTTGAGCTTAAAAATGCATTTCTCTTCCAGCATTGCAGACAGTCTGTAGCAGTGCAATTGCTAATACAGATGTTTGATTCTGCTGATTCTCTATGTCTAAACATAAACATAGTTTTAAAGTAACTCGGTATTGAAATGTGCTGAGTTTCCTAGCCCTTTTTGCTCTCACACAGTCCTAGCAGAAGAGGTAACTGTTATCATAGGCGAGTTAAAGTGGTAATATTTATCTGGGGGTTATTCGTAAGTGTGTTTGATATTTGAGAGTGGCCAGTCTGTTTACAGTATCCTGCTCTTGCACTGCAGCCGAATTGCTCTTGCTCTGAAATGACCTTTTCCCCCTGTGATTGTTCAAGCAGAACTGAGTTCTGTTCCCTTCTGTACCAAAAAGTCTTTCAGCAAAGTTTGCGGACTTTTTGAAGCTCTTTCCTTCCACAGGTGTTTACGGTATGTGGTGATAGAACAGAATCTTGAGAATTATGTGCCTTTGCTTGGAGATCTGTCTAAAGAGATGCAGAGGTAGGTCTTTATGTTCATTACAAAACTTAATACTTGATTTTTGCTTATCTGGGAAAATACAGGCTATATCTGCAGCAAACCCTCAATGACACAGTAGGAAGGAAGATTGTGGTGGATTTCCTTGGTTTCAACTGGAATTGGATTAACAAGCAGCAAGGGAAACGTGGTTGGGGTCAACTGACTTCTAACTTGCTTCTTATTGGCATGGAAGGTAAGCATTTTCCTCTGCACTGAGGAGAAAGGGTGAAGATTTGGTCAGCAGTTCTATATTTCAGTTCCAGAAGGTCTTTCAAATGGAATTTCCATTAGTTTGGAAGTGTTCCTTCAGAGCAGACAGTTTAAAGCTTTGGGCTGTCACAACTTAACTTGGATTTCAGAGTGGAAATAACCAAAGAAATAGCTCATGTTTCCCTAGAGGTGCACTGTGAATGCATGAATTGTCTGCTTATGAAAAAGTTCTGTGCGATGCTGGTAAAGCTGTGTTTTTGGTAATTTATTCTGGGCTTCTTAGCATGTTGAATGTCTACCCAGGAGGAAGTGTGATTATTCTGTGAAGCATTTGTTCTTATTTGAGCTGGTACACTGTGGGAAGGAATTCTTTCAGTTAAGAGCTGAGTTTCTTCTAAGAAGGTTAGAGGCCACTGGGGAGCTTGAAGATGGATAAATCCTAAAAATGGTTGGATAGAGTGGAGTTCTAAATCCATGGGAAGACTGACTCATAGGCATGTTAGAATTCAGAGGTACCACTACACTGTTGACAAGGAGAGCATTCCAGTAGAAAGTAATCGCAGTATCTGGGTAATGAGTGTACACAGTTTTCTGAAGTGGGATGGCCTATAATCACTTGGCTGTTACATCCAGTTACAATTGTCCAGTTGCAATTACTTAACCATTCTTGACTGTTCTGTTCTCACAGCAGATGTTTTTTCCCTTTGCCGCAAGTCATTTTTAACTTATGGGAGTTTCTTTGCCACTTCTTTTACTAGCTGAGAGAAAAGAAGTTAACATAGCAGCCTTCCAGTATCTGAAGGGGGTTTATAAGGACGCTGGGGAGGGACCCTTCATTTAGGGACTGTAGTGATAGGACTGGGGGTAACGGGTTAAAAATTAAACAAGGGAAGTTTAGATTGGGTATAAGGAAGGAGTTCTTTACTGTAAGGGTGGTGAGGCACTGGAATGTGTTGCCCAGGGAAGCTGTGAATGCGCCATCCCTGGCAGTGTTCAAAGCCAGGTTGGACAGAGTCTTGGGTGAGATGGTTTAGCGTGAGGTGTCTCTGCCCATGGCAGGGGGGGTTGGAACTAAATGATCTTAAGGTTCTTTCCAACCCTAACTATTCTATGATTCTATAAAAGTGCTGCACTAGCACTTCCTTAAGGGTTATAACATGATCACTAAAGTCCTGTTATCAACAGCTTATGCACAAGAACGAAGGAATCTTGAATCAGTGTGTGCTAGAGAATAGGGTGTCTTTACATGAGCATGCAATTGTGTGATCTCTTTAGGGAAGTTATGGGGTTAAATGTTATCTTAATTCTCTTTAGTGAAAGCACATACGAAGAGCAAGCTCAAAGAATAATATCTGAATTGGCAGACATCCTGAAAAATGTAGTTGTGATGGGGACAAAATGCACCACTGTATTTAAAGGTTTGACTAAATTAAAGATCAAGTAGTGACAGCCAAGCTTCAGAACTGTTGATCATACTGAGGAGGTGCTGCTATTGGGAGCTCAGTGACAAAGAAATTTGTTTACTTGTTTTCTTGCAAAACTACTGTGACTTTTTCTAAAATCAGGCTGTTGGACTCCTTTTCTCTAAACTAATAATTTTTGAAAGTCTGTTCCACAACTTGTCATCTAAACAGTATTTTATGAAAAAGTTTCCAGTCAACGTTCAGCATCTGCTGTTCATGGTAACAAGCTGGAAATCTGAATATGGTAGAGCATAAGTTGCTAAATATGGATTTAGAATGGAAATTAAGTGGAGTAGCAACTGCTCAATAAAGGCTGACTGATACAGTGATCAGTTTGTTATGTTCCTGTGGGCTTTTTCCTTGTTTAGTTTTCAAAATATGTGGGAGTGTATTTGCTGTCTTAGCAAGGAACATAACTTGTTTCTGTCTTTCATACATGTACATTGAGTGTCTTGTTTATCATCTTTTCTCTATAGGGAATGTGACACCAGCTCACTATGATGAGCAGCAGAACTTCTTTGCTCAGATTAAGGGTTATAAGAGGTGTATCCTGTTCCCTCCTGATCAGTTTGAATGCCTCTACCCTTATCCTGTGCACCATCCCTGTGACAGACAGAGCCAGGTGAGAATAGCAGACCTGTTCTCCATGCCAGAAAAGGGCATTTGTCTAGCATTTGCTGGATGGGAGGAAACCACCCTGAAATTAAAGCCACACACCACTGGCGGAGCTTTTGCAAAACCTGTGTTCAGATCTGTTAACTGGTGAATACACTGAGGATAGCTGGAAGAACTAGTGGTGTTTCAGTATATGTCTGGTCCTGACTTGCAAGTGCTAGGGCTGTAAACATCTCCTTACTGATAGTCCAACTGGACTGCAGTTTCTGCTTTCTTCTGTTTTACCAATAACTTGGTCAAACACAGATTTGCTCAAATTGCAGGACCCCTGTCTAAGTTGGTGGTACTTTGAGGAGTGGAGTTCAGACATGAATGGGAAAGTAAAAGCTATATAGGGAAGATCAGGATGGTTTGATACTGAGAGCCAATAATGAGGACTGTCACTGCAGGAAGTTCTTCTGAGCTTCTTAATGTTTTCTTCTATTAGGTGGACTTTGACAATCCTGACTATGAGAAGTTCCCGAACTTCCGGAGTGTGGTTGGCTATGAGACGGTGGTGGGTCCAGGGGATGTACTATACATACCTATGTACTGGTAAGAAGGCTGGTGGGATGCAGTGACCAGCAAACAGAGATTTAAAATGCCTTCTGCTTAAAGTGTTGGGTTGGCTCTTAGACAATTTTGGTTTGACTTCTTCAGTAAGTATGGTATTTTCTGTGATATCTTGGGCCAATCTGTTTCTGCTTCCTGTCTGTCAGATGGGAGTGGTAATTCTTCCTGGCACCATGTTATTGTGCAAATACTCCACTAACATGTACAAGAAAAGGATCTGTATTTAAATAATGAGAGTTTTCCAGAAGTTCCAAGGTCTTGATAGGGCAGGGCTTGCCTAGTGCTGTCTGAACTCATCCATCCAAGGTATTTCACTATAAGTTACAGCAACAGTTTCTTTTCCTTTCTGTGTGGTTTCCATGCAGGTGGCACCACATTGAGTCTCTCCTGAATGGGGGGATTACCATCACTGTGAACTTCTGGTACAAGGTGAGTACAAGGACCTTCCTGCACAGCCTGGGTAGCCTGTCCCAGGGGATTTTTTCAGGTAGAGATGTATTGGCACGTGTTGTCAGTATGAGAACTTAATTGCACCAAATCCTTTGCTTTAAAGCTGAAAGCTACTTTCTCCCTTTTGAGTGTCATGTGAAGAATTAGGTGACTGGGAGAAGGTGGAGTAATCTGCTAATTCAGGAAGCTACAATGAGCTCTTTTTGATATTTCAGGGTGCCCCAACCCCAAAGAGAATTGAGTATCCGTTAAAAGCTCATCAGAAAGTGGCAATAATGAGGAACATTGAGAAGATGTTGGGAGAAGCCTTAGGAAATCCACAAGAGGTACAAACAAAAACCCAATATACAGTCACTGCTGTTGAAATCATCATGGCTTATTGCAGAACTCGAGATGCCAACTATTTGGCTCTGCAGGTGTCACAGTGAGGGTAGGAGAAAGCAGGGTTGCTCTGTTGCTGTGAATGGTTCTTCCTGCTGTCTTCAGAAGGTCCTTTGGCTGCAAAAAGGCAAGCTCTTTAAATTATAATTCTGGAGAGGACCTCTACAGTGGTGTAATTGTTCTTGTATGTGGGGGAAGGTGTACTTTGGCTTTGGGTCCTGCCAGGAAAGTGTTGCTCCTAAACACTGCTTATCCTTATGTGCAGCAACTGCCCAGTGTTTATCAGAACTGTTTTACCTGTTGAATCCAAGTCTCTTTGACTAAGAGAAATCTCTTCTGTTAAGCCATGTGCTTCAGTCATCTCTGAATTCTTTGCCATTTTAACCAACTGGTATTTCAGAAAAACAGATTGAAGTTGTATGAGTATGCTTTTGAAGATGTCCTGCTCATCTGAAAGTGGAAATTCTGGATGTGAATAGAAATGTTTTCACGGTCTGTAACCTTACCACTGTTCAGGAACTCCTCTTTGGTGCACTCATCGTGCCTCTCCCCTGAGATTATCTTATTGCCCTAGCATGCTGAACTTCCCTCAGTGATCAGGCAGTGCTGAGAAATGGGAGTGGTCTTGACTGAAAACAAAACCTTAGCAAAATCGTCAGTCCTAGCCTTCCTTTCAAGTGACCCCAAGGACCAGAGAGGATTCAGTGAGTAAGAATGTTCCTTCTCTGCCCTGCAAAAAGCAACCCCTGATGACTGCTGCTCCTTTAAATAGCATCTGCTCAGAAATTGCAAATCTAGGGTGGGAAGTTAAAAAGTTTCAAACAAATACTGGTGATGCAGTATTTTGGTGGAAAAAGTTGGGTGTGTGCAATTTTGGTAGGGATTTGTGGATGTGCTCAGGGGTGCCCCAGTGTTTTATGCAGAAGATATTTCAAAATTGATTTGGTGTACCTTAGGTTCAGTTTGTGCATTGATATCCTTTGTCCTGGGCTGCTCAGCTCCTAAGGTTGCAGAAGGAGCAGGCTCTGCAGCTGCTATTGCAGTATATCTGTCCCAGCTAATGATTTGTTTTTGCTTTGAACAGGTGGGTCCCTTGTTGAATATGATGATTAAGGGACGATATGACTAATGCCTGGCTGCCGGGTGACTGATGTTGGAGCTGCTTTGTTCACAAGCAATGGAAGATACTGAGCGCTAGTATTGCACGCAGCACTTAACAGACTGATGGGTTTCCTGACCTATCCCTGCCCCAGTACAATAAAGGGGGCTACTGGAACTGCAAAACTGTTAGTACCCCATTCATCCTCCATTCTCATTTAACCGAACCTCCCGAGAAAGAGTCTGCACTTGCTGGAAGCTGGATTCATGCTCACTAGCTTGTTTTTTCTCCTTCTGCCCTGTTTGCCACAAGGAGCATGATTTCTGGCATTTTGATCTGTTGCTTCAGGATTTTCAGGCATTTGAAGAAGAGCTTGGAGGGGAACCACGTGTGATCTTGTTTCCTCAGCCTCACAGGGTTTGGACCTCCTGGCTGGGTTTATGGATTGGTGCCTGCAGTGAATATAATATGGGTATTATAGGTTTAAAAGTCCTCTGTTGTTAGAGGACCTGTCCATGCTCAACTCTTGGCACCTTTTTGTAAAATGGAAACAAACATAGCCTGTGTGTGATGATCAACTACACAACTGGTTTGATTTCTTCAACTTATGACATCCATGCTTTGGACTTAGTACAGGGTAGAGATCAGAGTGAATTCATCTAGTGTGTGAGCACCAAATCCAATGCTGTCCAAATAACATCTGTGTTGTAGGAGTCTAGATAAACCTCCTTTCCAACAGCTTTTTTGGGGGAGTGAAGGCTTCTTTCCCACTCTTCTGAAGCTGCAGTGTGGTTGAAGGGGGATATACATTATGAAGAGGGATGCATTAATGCTGGGGCACTCTCCAAGTCTGGAATGGTTAAGCCACATTTTCAAATTAAATTCCCCAGGGGTGTTGAGCTAGACAGTCAAAACGCAGCGTCAGATAGGTACAGAGCCTCTGTTCTCTCCTCACCAGGGGTGCTGGCTCCTTGGAGTAACATGGGAAAGTGCTCTTTTTACTGAAACTTCAAGAACTCAAGTGTGTGTGGCTGCGCACAGATGCGTGTGTTTGTGTGATGATGTGTGGCTCCTGTCCATCAGTTATTCCATGCCAGTGTGTGGTTCCCTTCCTTGTACAGTCATGTGAAAGAGGTTGGGGCTTTCTGTTTAAATGTGGTTAAGTTTATCTTGATCCTTTTTGTGTTCTGGGACTTGACATGGCAGGCTGGGAAGTGACAAGAGAACCAGACAAGCCTCTGTTTAAGAATCCTTAGCAATGACCTTCAAAAATGATTTTGCTTTCTTCCTCCTTTTGCAGACAAAAGCCTTAGACTCATATGGAGACTGGCTTTTTATTCCCTGAGGTGTGCTGCACTGCTGTCCCTGGATTAGGGGGTGGTGCAAAGGTCTTGTATGTTTGACGCAGTTGTAATGGGTCCCAAGAACCAGAGGTGAAAGAAGCCCATATATCTCATCCCAGGGAACAGTGGGGAAGTCATTCTGTTGAGACTTCCCAGCATTTTCTCTGTTGTTCTTTGGGGCTTGTTCTGACGTTCTGATAAAAGCATTAAGAACATGGCACTCAAGAAGTGTCTTTGGCCTCCTGTTCCATCCTTGGGTGGGACAGCTCATGCACCACTTGCAGTGAGCTTGTCTTGCACAAAGGTGAAAGGCTTCTCAAACAGGAGGTCCCAAGGGCTAGTTTCCTGGCTGCTTTACAGGTCAGAATAGATGAAGTGTAATTGGCATGTGCAGGGTTCTTGTTTAAGAAATGTATCTATGTCACTGAGTAGTCTGACTGCCATGTTATTTGTTGCAGACTCTCCAGAGCTGTGGTTAGACCCAGATGAAGGTCACTCAGCTGGATGCTTATCAGTGTTCAGCCTTTGGGCAGGTGAGAAAAAAGGCTAAGCTGCTGACTCTTGCCAAAAGCCAGGCCTTCCCAGGAATCCTGGGCACATGCCCTTGGCTGAAAGATGCTCAAATGAAATCTCATCTCTGTGCTGTTAACACACAGTAGTCACCGGTACTACTTGTTAGACACCATCAGCTCTTGAAGCTCAGGGTGGGAGTTCATATCCCATGGGGAGAGAGAATGGTACTTCAGGATGCTTTTTTTTCTTTATTTGCCAAAGGTCTAACTCTTAAAGTGTCTGAGCAGGTTTTGCTGCACTTGACTTCGTGAAAGCTCATTTACAATGCACTGATGGACTGACTCCTTGCCCCTTCCCTTTTCACCTTGTGCTTTCAATGCCCCTTGCCATGGTATTCGGAAGCTGTGTGTTCTCTGCTAGGGGTGTGTGTGCAGGGGGTGGGGTGTGACCAACACACGGTACCTTCTGAAGTGTAGTTCTTAAATACAACCAATGTTGAACAACAAACTGTGTGGCTTTTATTTTGTGAGTGGCTGTATATGAGAGCTATATAAGAGATGCATGTATAAAGCTACCTTTCAGTAGCTTCTAGTAACTCCACTGATATTCTTCACTGGTGAAAGCTGCTGGTCTCCAGCTATGCCTTCAAAACAGCAATACCAATTGTATTATCATAGGTCTTCACAACTTTCCCTGTACTGCTTCTCTAAGCCTGAAACTAAAGCTGGGAATAAGATGGTATCCTTGAACCCTGTCACCGACAAGTGTGTGTGAGGAGGGAACACATTTCCCTCCCTGCTGACCTAAATGGAGTCGCCATGCTCTGGTCACTGACAGAATGATGGAGCAAACTACACAATCCTGTCTAATGTATTCTATCAGTTGCTTATCTGTTGGGTTACCTTGTTCTCCATGTTGTCCTTTATCCAATTCAGACATTGGTCAAAGAGATTTTGGGCAGGCGGCTTTGTTTGTGTACCCCTGCTGTATGTTAGCAGTCTTGGGTGATGGAGTCTTCTCTGCCTAATAAAAGCACATGTTATCTTATGGTAATATTAATTCTACAGCAATCTTGACATCTTGCCAGCAGTGAAATGTTGGCTAAATCTGAACAAATTTCTAACATACAGTAAAATGTGGAAGACCTGAATAGAGATTAGGGATGTTGGTGTAGTGTTGGGGAAAGAGAGACAGCTGTCTGAACCTGGGCTACCACAACTGGCATTGTCCTCTCACACTCTTGGGGGGGACAGGGTGAATGTGGAAGTAGTAGGAAATACAGGAGTCTTCTGTAACCTTGGGTGTTCACCCTTCCCTGCTGTGCCTGTTGGGATCATCGTCTCTGAATGCACACTTGCTTCTGTTACACTGAACTTAGTGGTCTGTTAGTCTGATCCTGTAGTCTTTCTGTTGTGCACATCCCTCTTGGGTAGCATGCATGGCTAGCAGCACAAAGCCCAGAAGTGTCTCAGGCTGTGCTAAGAAACATGAATGAGAACTGTCATTTGAAAAGCAAGATCGGACTCCCAAGATTTTTCTCTTTCACTATTGTTCGGTTTTATTACCTTAGGTCCTAGAATACCTTTCTTTTCTTGTTCCCTCATTTCTCTATTCTTTGAGAAGTGGGATTTTTTTTCCTAAGGATAAATAATCCTTGTAGTGTATGGCTGTTGAGGAGCCGTGATCCCTTGGAAAGAGAAGAGACTTGGTCTTTACACTGATGCACTATTTTACCCCTTGGTGACCAGGTTCAGTGCAGTGATCACCCAGGAAATTTGGAGGGATAAAACAGATTCAGGGTGAAGCCAGCAGGCCAGGGTTGAGGAGGTATGAGACATAGCTGCACTGCACAGGCAATCCAACAGGTGCAGGTGAGAGGGGAGACCCTCAGCATCAAAGCAGCTCTTGAGGGATAGGGGGACAGGCCTGGGCCAAGACTTCTTGGGCTTCTTTCTTTGCAGTAGCTCTTATCAATGAATTAGCCAACCTTGAACACAGCCAACTGGTCTTTAAAATCCTACGACGGGGATGGTGCACTCGTGGTCATGACAGTTTCTTGGCAGGCCTTTAGGCTGATACATGTGCAACCCATGCTGCCACACCAGCCCTGGAAGCAGAGCCGCAACTGCCGCAGGGGATACTGCCTTTGCGTGTGTGGTTTTTTCAAAGTGCTTTTCCCTAAGCCTCTCCTCTGTGTGTGAGGAGCACCTTGCACTCTGGTTTGCGGTCTTCATCTTCTGCTCCTGTTTTGGAGACGGCACCTCTGTCACCATTGTCCTGGGGAGTCCTGAAGTCACCATCTGAGTGCTTTTCTGCATTGATGCTGCCTAGAAGAGAAGGGAAAAAGATGCTGTTACTGTGACAAACACATGCGAAGTAAGTTCTAATTACTGCCTTGCAAAGTCAAATATTTGTTGCAAGCAGAGAACTAATTGCGGGGGGGGGGGGCCCCCCCCCCGCGGAAGTGGAGGCTCTTGGAGTGTAAGTTGAACAGATGCCCGTACGCCTTGGGGAAACGCAGCTTTCCTCTACAAATCAGAGCTTTAAATTACAAGGCTTTTACCAACGAGAACAGTTGTGGGAAGTCGTCTGCTCTCATTTGCGTAATGGCTTCTGTCACTGGTGATTAGACACAGGATGAAGGAAAAGAAATTTGACAATTAGGAATGAGCGATCATTAATCAGAATCTTCGTTAGAAGCAGGGAAGCGGGGGGGAGAATATCCCGCAAACAATGGAGGCAGCCACTAGAGCCACGGTGAAGTCCATGAGATGCCTAACTCTGAGTGCTACTGTTGCTCTACAGAGCCCCCACTGCCTAGGCACGGAGCAGCAGCAAGGGTCTTGGTTGGGTTGGAAAGCTTGTGGAGGAAGGCAGCTAGGCAAAATCCGTCCCATGCTGTTCAGTGGTCACATCTATCTGTCCCATCAACACCTTGAGTTTCCTTCTCAGTGCCTGGCCACAAACTGCACGCAAAAAAGCACAGAAACAAGTTGGTGTGGTCTCCTTTTCTCACACCTTGCATGCAGCCTTGCAGTTTCTGGTGCAGAGGAGAGCAGTTGAGGGCCTTGACTGGCATGCAGAAGATTAGGATGAGCAATGCGAAAGCAGTTCCAGGCTCTTTCCGATAATGTCATTTCCTATAAGAGCAAGGAAGCACCTGATGGGCTGCACAACAGGTAAAGAAAAGAAGGTAGTTGTGACTTTTCCGCATCTGTCATTTGCTCTCTTAGCTCCTCATCCAGCCATGTACAATCCAGTATATGCGTTTATTTGGTTTTTGTGGGTTTTGATTAAATTATCGGTGCACATGAAGTTTGTTACCTGTTCTTCCTACAGCTGTCATTCAAAGTCTTGACAGATGAAACATTTTGGTATTGCTTACATGAAGAGGCACTGTCTCTGATTAGATCAGCAGCTATAGCTTGGGAGGGAGGATGACATACTATTTGTGCAACATGTAATGCTGGCTGGTTCATCTCAAGACTTAAGCTTACTGGATTCATTGATTTCAGTGCCAATTCCTGTCTTTGTAAGGCTGGGTCATTCACTTGAGGCAGAGGTCTCCGTCAGGGTGATTATTCTTTCTGTGACTGGAAATCAAAGCGGGTACCTCCAAAGGGGAGAGCTGAAGCCATGTTGTCCTCTTCCCAGATGGCTCTGACCTCAGACAAATGATAGCAGCTTGGATTTGCAGCCTCTTCCCATGGCTAGTGTTGCTCACCACAGGAACTCAAAATGAAAGAGAAAACAGTGGATCTCAGGACGTGATGTAACAGTGCTTTTCATCCACTGCTCATCATGGGAGAAGTTAGGAGCATCACTGATCACATTGCTCAGGGTGGAGAGATGTGTCAGGTAGTGACTTTTTTCCCTCTTAAACATGTGAGGAGAGGGATGCTATTCTTTCACAGCAACATTTTAAACACATTTACATTTGGAGGAGTGTAGCTCATGTGTTTTGTGAAACTCAACTTGTGATGTTGTGGAGTTGCTGTCAGAATTCACCTCACAAACTTGCAGTAAACACTGAGAAAGCCCAGACTTGGACACAGCAGGGTGTTGCTGTCGCTGTAGGGAATGTCACTGTGCTGGACGGCAGGAGCCACAGGTGTGACTCCCATTGCAGTTTTTCAGTTGTGCTGTTTTTCTTGAATAGTCAGGATTCACCACTGAACGCCTTGACAGGGAGGATCTTCGGATGTGACTTGAAACCCCTTGGGAAGCCAGGATGGGGGGAGAGTGTATGTAGGTAATCTGTGTTATGAGATCTGCTGCACGCTCTGCGCTCCCTGAGCTGCTTAAGGACTTCTGGCCTCATGCAGTGAGCTGTGTGAGGGCTCTGGCTGAGGTGAAAGCAGCTAAAGGGGTAAGGTCAAACCATTTGCTTCTATAAAAGGACAGTTGCTGTGCCCATGGAGAGGGCACATTGGGTTATAATAGCAGCCAAGGGGGCACTTTCTGTGGGAGAGCTTAGTGCTGCAGGTGATGGACTGATTCTGCTCCAAGTTTCTCTGCCAGGACCTCTGCCAGTCTCTCAGAAGCTGCTCCTATCCATCTGTGTTTCACTGGGGTAAAATGCTTCTGGCAGTAAAGAATTACTGGTGCTAGTGGGTATTTAGGTCACATGCCAGCCACTGGAGCTGGAAGGTAAGGGGCAGTAAGACCTTGCTTGGCATTTGAGGTAATAAGGTTCTGGTCTGTCAGTTCATGTGAACTGCAAAGATTTGTAGAGCTGGGGAGTCACAGGGTCATGTTACTTGTGCTGTCAGGTCTGACATGGCTCTGGCAGGGCAGACCTTAGTGCTCTCTGAGCCTGTTATTTCGGGGTGGTGCAAACCTGGGGTGTGAGCAGCAGTGGGAATCTCCCAAGTAGAGCTTGGGGCTATGAAGGACCCACTCATCTGCCACCAGTTCACTGGCCCCTGGCCTCTGCCTCCTCCCCACCACAGAGGCAATCCTGTGTCTCCTGCTTTTGCTGTTTGTTTATAGCTCCCCCCATCCCATCTGTCTTTCTCTCCTCCTTACTTCCCTTCCTTTTCCCTCCCTCTCCCTCCTCCCCCTCATTCCCTGTAAGCGATTAATCATTTTGACAGGCTCAGCGATGGCCTTTATTTCCTTGAGGCGGCCAAGAAATGTCTGTGAGCACCTTCTCTGACACCCCTCGTGTTCTCTCACCAATGAGATCAGCCACTCCGCTTGGAGTGACACCACCAGAAATGTGGGGAGGGGAGCAGGGGGGAAACTCCAGCAGAGCCAGCAGGGAAATGGGCAGTGGGGCAGCATCCAGTTGGGGTGCCATGTGGGACCCCATTAGCTGTGATGAATATGTCATTTCACTATAGCTTGCATGTGTCATACTTCGCTCCTTCCCTTTCCCCAGGCTCTCCTTCAAATCTTGTTTTCAGTGCAAAGGCAGTTGGGAAGAAATCAGGCTGCTCAGAAAAATATAAGCCTCCAACAGAGTGGCTGGAGGGAAAAGCTGTCGCAGGAGAAGGAAGAGCAGG